GGGGTCACAGCCAACGTTAAAAAAGTTTTATTAAATATTTGGAGATTTTTAGATATTCTTTACAGTTTAAAAAATCTACTAAAACGCTCAATAATAACCATTAAACTAGACTACAATGCCTAAAAATAGTTGTAAGCACAAATTTATTTTAATACATGCCACCTTTTGTCAGTTTAAATGGTGTAGTAAGCATACATATATTCTAACTTAATTTTTCTTTAACTAAGTTTATTGAAAACTGTTGTCACGTGTTTTAAGAAACTGAAAGATGAAGACAAACTGCCCAATTAAAACAGATACTGTTTTTTTAGAAACGTAAAAAAATAGACAGCTAGACAGAAAGACAGATAGACAGATAGACAGATAGACAGATAGACAGATAGATAGCCAGATAGACAGATAGCCAGATAGACAGATATACAGATAGACAGATAGACAGATAGACAGATAGACAGATAGACAGTTAGACGGATTGACAGATAAACAGATAGAAAAATAGATAGATAGACAGATAGACAGATAGACAGATAGACAGTTAGACAGATAGACAGATAGACAGATAGACAGATAGACAGATAGAAAGATAGAAAGATAGACAGATAGACAGATAGACAGATAGACAGAGAGACAGATAGACAGATAGCCAGATAGACAGATATACAGATAGACAGATAGACAGATAGACAGATATACAGATAGACAGATAGACAGAAAGACAGATAGACAGTTAGACGGATTGACAGATAGACAGATATAAAAATAGATAGATAGACAGATAGACAGATAGACAGATAGACAGATAGACAGATAGACAGATAAAAAGATAGACAGATAGACAGATAGACAGAGACAGATAGACAGATAGCCAGATAGACAGATAGACAGATAGACAGATAGATAGATTGACAGATTGACAGATTATCAGATAGACAGATAGACAGACAGACAGATCGAAAGATAAACATATACACAGATAGACAGATAGATAAACAGCTAGACAGGTAGATAGGCAAATAGACAGATAGACAAGACTGATTGATAAGCTATTAGACACTAAGCAGATAAAATTGATTATTTTTAGAAACAAAACTTTTTAAGGATAGTTTTTACCGAAAGATAACCCAATTCCAAATTTGGGAACAAAAAATATCCTCTGATAAGAAATGGTAGTTACTGATAAATACATAGGTCGTTGATTTGGAACCCCTTGGCCATCACGTCAAACTATAGTAAATTTCATTTAAGATTAAAATCTAATATGTTTAAAATCATAACTTCTTTAACTAAGGAACCATTAAGAAGACAAAAATGTTTTCAATTTTTAAAATGTAACCGATTTAAAATTTAAAATTAAACTTTGTCGAAAAGAGATGTTTAATAAATTTGGCCTTCTTTTCTGCCTTCTACCCTGTTACGATTAATAAATCTAACTTAATTAAACAAATTTAATGGTTGGACTTGAATAAATAGTTTAACAATATCTTAAATTAAAATAATTATGATTTGATTAATGTCGGACTGCAAACCGACACCTTCCAATACCATGTGTCATTTGTTATGTTTACAACAACAACCTTCTTATATTGATATTTTAATGTATAAACAAAGAGATTGTTCAAGTGACCCGCGCGCTATGCAAAGAGATGGCAAACCCGATTTACAACGGTACCCTTGAAACCTTAAAATTATCAACAATGTGGAAGACATTTTTTCTTTCTAGTTTAAAAGTGTTCAGTTCTGGTAATTCCTCTTTGCTTTCCTGTAAAGCAGAAATGCGAAAGCCGCTTGATCGAACAAAGTTTTAAAGGGAATTATTGTGAATCTGGAATTGCTCTCTTTGCATGAAGGGTTACTTCAAATTACTCTTTACACTGCCCCTTCGAATATTCGAATACGTTGCTATTTGCATTTTCAGTTCGGTGAATTTTTCCATTCTGAAAACGTAATTTCAAGGGACAACGTTATGATTTGAAAATAATTGTTTATTTAAGACAATCTTCAAGAACTAGTGCAAACTAGGTCAAAGTTATGTGACATTACTGGGGGACTTTGTAACCTCATAGCTCCTCTAGTTTTGACTTTACGCATAAATATCAGAAAAGTAAATTTATCCAGTTTCAAATTAGAAATTTAAAACATTTTATTCTTCTCAATAGCTCTTTATTAAGAGGAGAAATATAAGATTTCAAATACTGGTTAATCCCGAATTGAATTCGATATCGATCATTACGCTCTTGGGTATAAGACATTTTTAACCATTTTCATCTTGTAGACGCAACACATAGAAGTAAAATTATTATTGATCGATATCGAATTCAACTCGGGATCAGCCCACACCCCTTCACGAACACTTCCTGTACGCTTTTACTTTTATATACAACTAAACTATTATGTTAATCTACGTTAATTCTTACAGTTTCTATCGGTCAAA